CATACATGTAGACATTTTCAACAAGATTGTAATTGGATTTGAAATATGGGAAAATTTTGTTGAATGTGACTAGAATATAAAGTGCCTCTGTTCTTGAAGATTTTTTGAAGAGAAAGGTTTAAAATTCGTTTTAAGCAAAATGGTAATTGGCATTTCGAACTTATATACCATCGAAAACGAATTTGAATAATTTGCAGAAAAATAATTTTTTAATTTTATTTCATTTCGAAAATTCTAAATTTAAATTTAAATGGCATTTCACATTCTCTTTTTCAAGAATGTACAAGCTTTCCAAGTTTGATGGTAATAAGGACATTTACTCCTACATCATAATTAGAGATTTTCAAATAAATTTCCTATAATTTTAAATATTACAAAACCATTTTTTTAATATAAACTCAAATAATATACAAATACAACGAATTTAAAATCTTCCAATTAAAAAAATAATATCTTCCTCCATATTGATTAATATAAATTTAAAATTTAATCAATATAAAACCGAAATTGATTATTTATTTTATTTATTTTTGTAATATTTTAATACTTAAATTAATTATGGTATCATAGGAACCATAAAAATTATTTTTTTTTATATAATTTTGTTATCTGATTTAATTCGTGCTATCATTTTGTCTCTTAATGTATATTTTGTATTAATTTATATATGGAGGTGTTTGTATCTATATATTGATATAATGAAGTAAATAGGTATATAAATTTATTTACACATTAAATATTTATCCTTTTTTTTCTCATGTAACCTAGTAAAACGGTATAGTAACAAAATAAATAAATTTTCGTTAATGTTTCTTAATTTAAATTACGCGTGAAATAGGATAATATATATAAGTTTATTTAGATATACATATACACCTATAGGTGCCTTTATTATGTGGTATACACATATTGTGTTCACATAACCTCCTATCTTGTCTTATGTGTGCATATAAATTTTTTATTGTAATTATATTAATATATCCGGATAATATCTTCTTATTTGCTATTAGAAAATATATAGAAAGAATGTATGTTAGAATTTATAAGTTGTATATGTACCTTAACATACGCGAATATATGTATATTTAATGATCTCACATTAGCGTTGGAAATTAATAAAACCAAACAAAAAAACAACTACAACGAATTTTAAGATTTTAAGATATTATGGCAACTATATTATAAAATAATATTATATATCAAGGCATTTAATAATATGTATCATTTTGTTCATCACATATTATATATTATAATATGAATTTGTGTATTTGTGTATACGCATAAATGTTAAATTTTTTGAAAAAGTTTAGGATAAAGGTAGGTGCTTTTATATTTTACTTATGCATTTTTTTTCTGTATCATTTCTTGTATAATATCTTAGTTTTAATTGAATATATATATATATATATATATACATATATATATATATATCTTCCTTAAACTCTCTGAAGTATAATAACATAGTAGTTATAAAGGTTGTTTTATAGAAATTTTGTCTAAATGATCAATTATAAGAATAGATTTACTGCCAAGAAAATTGAGTATAGAATTTTTGAGTAGTCAACTTTGATATTGTAATAATAAGCATGTGTGCGTGTAGTAACAAGGTATTAAATTGCACACAAAATTTTTAATACAAAAAATTATATTCGAAGTAAGTAAGATCGTATTAACAGAAGTTGCCATTGACTTAATTATCAAAGTGGTCCTCTGATCAAAATTAATAGGCTGTTATCTAAATATAAAAGAATTATTGAAGTTATAACGAAAATATACTGATTTTTTGCTCTCTCTTTGTTCCTTTAAAATCAAAATCTTACAAAAAAATTTAAAATGAAGTGGTGTAGTTTGTTATTCTTTCAATATGAAGTAATCTATTCAAATTAAACTCAAACTAACTGGTACCCCTTCAATTCAATAAAAAACATTAAATGAGTAAAAGGGTAAACTTTGTTTTCTAATTTTAAACTTGAGAAAGAATTAAAAAATTTCAAAAATTTAATGTTGTCTAGGTATTAAACTGTCTTTTCCTACATATTGGGCATACATTGCTCTTGCTTTAATTGAATGCGATAGTTGCTAATAGCTAAAATGTCAACCAACTATCTAATAGCAAATAAGTTTTGAGTGAATTGGTAATACCTTTTTTTTCGATTAAAAAGTAAAATGGAAGAAAATATTAAAATTTTCAGTTCATCTTGATTAACAAATACAAAAACCTTTCTTAAAGAAATTACACAATATCCTTTTATTTTATTTTAAAACCTAAAATTATAACACATCATATCCTTTCATATGAAAATTTAAAAATGTGAAAAATAAAAGTTACAAAAAATTAGTAAAAGGTATAAAAGATTTTTTTTTAATTTTTTTGTTCAAACATAAAACTCACTTTTGAGAAATTTTTATCTAGAATTTTTATCTAAAATTCTTTAAAGGAATTTTTATATTTTTAATTAAAAACAAAAAAAACAACAAAAAAATAGGAAAGAATAAGAAAAAAACATTTTTTTTATTCAAAAATTATAACAATGTTAAAAGTAGATATAAATGGCATTGAATACACACATAAACTCAAATTGAAGAGAATGAGAGAGGAAGGAGATTTGAGTGAAATTAAAAACAAAGGAAGAAATTAAATGTGCATATTGTAATAAAAAGCAAACAACAAAAAGAAAAAAAAAATAAGAGCGAATAAAATAAAAAAGGTTAAAAATTCTTTTGAGAACAAGGATTAACCTTTTAAGACAAATAAAAGGATGGTGGTAATAAGTGATGTTTTTTTTTTGGTAAACAATGAAGTTCTTTGTAATATAAATTTAAAGATTTTTTTTAATATTCCCTGTCTGCAAATTTTCTTTGTATTCATACTATTATAAAATATGTTAGCAAATATGAATTTTGATTAGTGTTGCCAAATATAAGTTAAAATAAAGTTATATAAGATTACCATCAATATATTTTATAAATTTAGTCATTACGATATTGTAGCAGGACTTTGCTTTTCAATTATTTAAATTTTGTCTTCAATTAAAAATTTAAGATAATTAAGATGAAGTTGGTAAGTATTGCGGTTTTATCTTGAAACTTATGCAAACTGCAGACATAATTTTTATCGACCGTATTGTGTATACAATAGGTATGTAGGTTATTTTCTTTTATAAGCGCAATAGACTTTATTTTGTGGAGTGTCTTTAAAAATGTATAAAATATATTAATCAGAATTTTAATCTTCCACACTTATAAAATAGAAATTTTAGTTTGATCGGTAAGACGGATCGCAATGTGTGACAATATTATTTTTTTTTAACTTGTATAAATATGCCCTTTGCTCATATAAAACATTATAAAAATATTATATTATATTGCATTACATATTTTTATTTATCTATGTTTGTAAAACACGCAAATTTCTATTAATGTAAATGAGTATGCGGTGATAGAGGTAATGAATACGAGATTTCTTTTGTTTTTGTTATTTTTAATTAGTAACATTTTGGAAAAATTGTAAATATATTACATGATGAAATTTTATACATAAATAGTATACTTGTGTATATGGAATAGGCAGGAATAGTGAGAAACACAGAGAATTTTTTAAAAGAGAAGAAAATTAAATTTTCATAAGATTCAAGTGAAATTTCTCGTTTAATCGTATATATATTCTGGAGCAAATTGAAAAAAAAACAAACAACAAAACAAAGCAATTACAGTATATTAAAGTTTGAATTTTTCTTTTGTTCTTCTGATTTCTGTAGCAGAAGTTTTTATTAGCACAAAATTTTGTTATTTATGTGATGGAATGTAAATAATGCCAGATTATATCCTTATTGTTCTGGTTTAACAGAAAATATTTATGTTCTTATGTGTTTCATAGGAGAAAACGAGAAATTAACTTGTTACCTACTTTAAAAAGAAATTTTGTTTTTTTTTTTTTATGTTTTGGTTCATTTTTCTTTTGTTTTTTAATTTTGTTTAATAACTTTTAAAGAAATTGAAAAGATAGATGACTAATTTTCAGGATATTTTAATTTTATAATTTAAACTGAATATTTGGACTATTTGAATTTATAAAATACAAAGGAAAATAAAAAGAATTTTTTTTAAATGATTAATCGTAAAGTTGATTTATAACTTTAATTTAACAGGATTCATTTACTTAACCGGAAATAATTAATATTGATAGCATATATTATGTATAATACGAGTAATTTATGTTAAACCGGACGGAAATTATTTTCTCACCGGAAGCTATAATGATATTTATGACACTATATAATTAATACAAACATTTAAATTAGGAAATAGTTTTGGTCAAAAAATTTGCTATATTAAATTTAATTTATTTAACATAATTACTAGTAGACAATAACACAATAAAAAGTTAAATACAAATTTTATGGGAATTGAATTTGTATAGAAATATTATAGCATTTTGAAAATTAAAGTGAATTTATTACAAGACAAATTTAGAATTTCATATAAACAGGTAAATTTATACTTATATGTATATAGCATATATGTATATGTAAATCTAGTACTTATTGATTAAAATTTATATTAGAGTATTGGGAAGGAATACGAGATTTAGAGTTAAGCTTTTGTGATATTGTCCACATTTCGTAAGAACAACTAAACTGTAAAAAGTAACTTTAAAATGAAGAAGACAGTCGGACAGACGGGCAGATATGGTTAAACCGACTCAGAATTCGACGGTGATCAAATACATGCTTATGTATGTCTATATCTCAGACCACCATTCCTTTGCGTTATAAACGGTAAGAGAAACATACTTTCGAACTTAAGTATAACGAAGAAATTTTTCACAATCTATTTCGAATTAACTTTCAATTTTATAGTATGCAACATATTTCATCGTCATTTCGAAAAATTATCTCCAAAATAATATAAGAATTAAAAGTAATTTAAATTTTCGCAAATATATTTAAAAAATTTTTAAAATAAAACTGAAAATTTGTTAAAATAACCATTTAACTTACCAATAATATACAACAAACTCCAAACATATGACTAATAATAACACCCTGATTAGTATTTAAATATATTAAAAATAGTGCATCCGTGCTCAATCTTATAAATAAAATAATCCCTGTACGATATAAAAGTCCAAGCCTATATTTATGCAAAAAATTTAAAATAAAACCACAAAAATTTTAAAATATTAAAAATTACGTACATAATTTATATATACAAAAAAAAACAAAATAATTTATATGTGCAATAAACATTGTAAATATCAAATTTACCTTCTCCATATTGAAGCATTATTATGTTTGTCATGTTTTTTTAATATCCAGGTTAATTTTTTTAACAACGTTATAAATAGTAATAAAAATAAACTAATTAATAATCCTTGAACAATGATAAATAATATAAAACCCGAACTATGATATTCTAACCACCAGAATAATGGCCATTTACCAATAATACTATATATAAGTGGTGAACATATTGCAAATAATATTGGAAACAACCAGCTAATACCAATAGCACCACGTATACCACCACTTGTCGCAGTACTACTACTACCACCACCGCTATTACTATTAAAACTTGTAACACCACCAATATTAATCCCTCCAGTACAACCAATACTGCTACTAATACCACCGCTATTGCCTCCTCCACCACCACCACCACCTCCTCCTCCACCGGTACCACCAACACCACCAGTAACAGTTAATAAAGTCGAAGGATTATTAATGCTGGTTGTTGTTGTTGCTGTAGATGCTGCTGCCGATGATGTTGATGATAATGCTGCGGCAGCAGCAGCAATATGAAATTTTTTTGGTACTAATTCTGATTGTATAACTAATAGCATTGCTACAAGAGTCGATAGACCTAAAATCATTAATGATGCCAATGTTGAACTAATTATGCTATGCCAGTCCTAAAAAGTACAAATATAAATGAAAATATATTTATATTTTATATTATTAAAGATTGAAAAAAAAAAAACAAAAAAAAAAAATAAAAAAAAATATTAACATTAATGGGTTTTATTAAGAAAAGTATAGTGAAAGCATTTTGGGAATTCTTAACGTAGAAATATATGGTATTAAAGGATTTAATATTCTAATACCCAAAGGATAACTATACATATATTCACATGTACATAGTATAAGTAGGTATATATGCATTAAATTGAAATATTATTTAAATATTAAAGACAGGCAGTGGTTCGGTTATAAGTGTATTTTATATTATGTATACATTTATATTGATGGAAAAATTTACTGTTACCAAAGAATAAAGAGATGATGGAGAAACTATTATGAAACTCACTTAATGAATTCTTGTTATTAATATGTATAAGATTATATTGTATGATTTCTTTGCAAAGTTAATGGAAAACATAACAATTTAAAATGCTTTCGAATTAATGTTAGTCGACATTTCGAATTATTTCAAAGAGTTTATTAGCAAAATATATAATTAAAAATCGCACCATTAGAATAAGTGATTAGTACTTTAGAAGTTATTTTTTATACCCGTACGAACTAAATTTGCCTTACCGTTTGTAACGCTGACAAATAATGCTCTGAGATATAGACTCAAATCTATGTTTTTGATCACCGTCGAATTCTGAGTCGATTTAGCTTAGTCTGTCTGCCTGTCGGTCCGTCCGTCCGTCAATCCGTCCTAACGACAACTCAAACATTAGTTTTAGAGCTAAGTTCACCAAATTTTCACAAAAAAATTATTGTAGTAAATGCCAGAACACTATTTAAATTGCACATGATCAGGGTACTGGTTGGGGTAGCTACCATACAACTTCAAAATTTATTTGACTATATCTTAGAAACTATAAAAGCATTGGTACTGAAATTTCGCACAAGTAAATATATAAGTTACGACAGGTTAATCATCTACCTAGTCAACTCTATGACGCTACGAAACTAAGGCATGATATCATGCACCAGCTCTTTGCTCCTCCTAGGAGTGAAGATAGGAAAAAAAAATATGTAAGTATATGTCTTTGATAAAAGTCGTTGAAATTTCTTGACACCTTCTGGTAGCTGCCATACAACTTCAAAAGTTATTTGGCTATGTCTCAGAAACTATAAAAGCTGTGATATTGAAATTTCGCACAAGCGAATATTCTAGTATTCGTATAAACAATGAGTTTTTTAACAAACAATGTGTTTGTTAAAATTCGGGCGAATTGCTTGCCTCTTCCATATAGCTGCCATACAACTTCAATAGTAGTTTGGCCATTGTTTAAAAAATATTGAAAACATAGTACTGAAATTTTGCATAAATTAATATGGTAATCTGCTATGATATATTTATTCGCACATACGATAATAAATTCGTACGGGTATCACAGAGTTGACACAGTCAACTCTATTTTTTCTCGTTTTAAATGAATTTTTCTCTTAAGAATTTAAAAAACTTATTAAAATTATTAAATTTATTAAAAAATTTAAGATCATTATGTTATCTATAGTTGAGGTTTTAATCAAATTGGCTGGTAAAATGAATTAGACACATGAAATAATGATTCTTTTATTTGTCAAGGCGCTGGAACCACTAAAATGCTAGCATAAGAGGTTGATTCTAAGAATTGAATTTGATATTCTTAAAATTCTAATTGCGGGGGTGCTATACGTTCGAAAACAGAACGCACGACTGCATTACAATTTTATATTCAAGGATTAACAATGATGTGTTTTCAATCTAGCAATTGAAATTTAATATAATTATCAATATTTTTTATATTTTAATGTACCTTATATTATATAAGTTAAGTTAATTATACACTCAATAACAATATTTGAATTTTTTCAAAACACATAAACAAATATTAAAGGGCTTTAATATTGTTGATGGTGAATTGTTAAGTTACACCACTTTCCATGCGTCAATTGTTTTCAAAATCGACATAAAAATTGTAATCGTATGTTTCTAAGCAGATTTTCTTGTACAAAACTTTTTACATATTATATATGGAAATAAAACTCGACTCACGTAGCTTCAAAAGAGAATGCTTTAATTAACATGCTGCAAAGGTATACAGAATTGTTTTTTTTACATAAAAACAAGGTTTTACCGAAAAGTATTATACATATAAATAAGATAATTTTGAAAATCTTGAGATCCTCTCCCAAATGCGTTCTTTCATAATAAGTTATTAAAGTTATTTGGTATTTCGGGCAGTTTCCAAACTAAATATATATTATTTAAGTGTTAGAGAAATTTAATATTAAGTTTTTAAAATTAAATATTACGATCAAAGAAAAGAACTATACGCGAACAGAATGTCCTTAATGCAAATGTATCCTTTATTTTGCTTTTTAATTTATTTTTAAATACATGTGTGGAATAATTTTGTGTGATAATTAAAGAAATCTATAAGTTTATACAAATTCGAATCAGAAATTGTATGAGCCAGAACTTGAATTGTTTGTGAAATTGGAGGAATGTTTATGTTGAAGGGCACTTGTAATTTGTTATACAATATTTGCATTTTGTAAAAATTCACACTTTTTTGATTGTGAATTTTGAGAGAGTGAACTAATTTGTGATTGTGGTTTGAAGGACTTAGGAGGGAAAATTTTATTCATTTAAGATTTTTTATTAAAAATTTTGTCATTAACAATTTTTTAATAAGTTTGGTTTAGTTTTTGGATTAGCAGCAAATTTCAGATGTAGAGTTTTCGGTGGGAACGCACTTCTCTATAGTAGGGAAGTGTAAAGAAACTATTTTTAGAGAGATGTCGGTCTGTTGGTCTGTGTGTGCACGTATTTCAAGATCGGCTAAACCGATTTTAATTAAATTTTATATGTGAGTTTGGTTTAGTTATGATATGAGCACGGATTGATCAACTTTTGAGACCTCGGGAACTGGACGTTATTAAGCAATTTCTTTGAAATTTAATATTAAATTTAGGGTGTTAAAACAATGAATCTATAATATTTTTTAGAAACCGAACTGGAGACCGATTTTACCATTTTTACCATATCTACGGAACGGACTAATAGAATTTCTTGAATATTGATATTTGAATTCTTGTTGTTACCAAACCAACCTGGTAAGCTTTTCAAGAAATTCGGGTGGCACAAAGTGGAATTTTACTAAGAGCCATATTCACACTTTTTTAGGTATGTTAATTAAGACTACATGAGATTTTTTTTAGGTCTTCTTTTTTGATTTTTTGTTCATATTTAAAATGAATTTTGAGTTATGAGATTTGTGTTTGTTATTTTTATTATTACAAGTCAAAATTGTTTTTAATTTTTACTTTAAGATGACTTAAAACGTTTTCGATTTACATGTACGTATTATTCTCATATGAGAGTTAATATTAAATTTCATATATTTCACATTTAATATCGCAAATATAAGAAGGTTCGAATTAAGATCGTAAACATTTAAATGTTTTTGAAAAAGGACTAAAGAGTTACAATAACAAAAACAGTAAAGTAAAAACCTGAAAAATATACCGAAAATGAACTTATCAAGACATAAGATATAATTGATATTATTTTTAGATAAAAAAAAATTATAGAAAACGTAAAAGAAAAACTTGTGAAAAATATAAAAAGGATTCATGTGTTATTTTTCGTTTTCTTTTTTTTTTTTTTTTTTTGTTGTTTTCACCATGGGTGAATAATCCGATTATGCGATTCGTATTCTAATATAGTATTATGGTAGTAAATTGAAAAAAATATTATTCTACAATTTATATACACAGACATGCAGGCAAACATATATTATAGGTGTACTGTGAGAAATATGTTTGCGACGTAAGGTGTGTATACAGCTTATATTAGAAAAATGCTGTATAAATAGAAGAAGTTAATAAAGTCAGAAATTTTGAAAGATGGATAGAGAGGTCAAGCAAAACAAAATAGAAAAAAGAAAAATATAAGGACAACAAAGTAAACAATTTTTATTGAGTCTTCATTTTCGCATCAGAACGATATGAGTTTTTATTTGCTATATTCGCTTGTTTGTTCTCTCTTGTGTAAAGAAAACATTGTTGCAATATGAAAGTGAATAATTTTTTTGTGCAACATAGTTTGGTCAATACCCATTCAAATAGAAATATTGTTATGTTTGATGGGTATGAAGAATTTTTGCTGTTTTTAAGTCGTATAGCACAAGAAAAAAAATTAATCTTTGAGAAGCAAAAATGCAAAAAACAAAAAATCAGAATTTTTATTATTATTTCTATGCTTTTTATTATAGTTGATCAGCAACAGCAGCAGTTTCAATAAGTTTGAGTAAGAGATTTCTTAGAAGTAAATTTTAAAAGTGAACTAAGAAAAAGAAGGACATCAGTTATGATTATAATCAGATTAATAGTTATCCTTTGAAAGAGTTTGAAATAGAAAAAGGAATAAATAAAATTTATTTATTCCACTTATAATTTGCTTGTTTTGTGGCATTGAGGCTCTATTAAATAAACAATGAGAAATTTATAATTTAATTCATATTTAAGATAGAAATGAACTTAAATTTGTCCTAAGAGACATAAAATGCAAATACTTAAGAATTAAAGTTTTTAAATTTAAAATGAAGTATTTTTTATAACTATAACAGAGAACAAAATATGTTTTTTTCTACATGGTTTAAATTAACAAAAGGGTTATCTCTTAATCCACCTGTTTTTCTTTTTAAAATTTTAATGCTACGCTTACTATTATCAGTAACTTCAAATTCGAATAATGTTTTACCAATTCCGAAAACTTATTAAATGTTGAATAAATTTCATATCACATACTCCTTTCATACCACAGTAACACAAGCCGTAGAAACGTAGATGCAGCAAGAAATATTCCAACTTCAATTAAAAATGTGAAAAAAAAATTTGGCTTTCTTAGTTGATAAAAATTTTGGTTTCCACCCGTGTAAAATGCAACAAAACCATTATATTCATCGCT